AAGAGTCTTCTCCAACACCACAGTTCAAAAGCATCAATTCTTCAGCGCTCAGCTTTCTTTATAGTCCAACTCTCACATCCATACTGACTACTGGAAATTAAACTAACTTAAAGTTAGTTTAAGCTTAATATTATAGAATTCAAGGACAATTGTATTAATGGGGCTGCAAAAAGTGTGATCCAGTATCAATCAAGAAAATTACAGGCCCCTAGAAAAGGATAACTAGTCATTATCTGCTAAAGGTAACAAACAACGCTTTCCCCATTAAATTGCTTTTAAATCACTTTAAAACCATGAATAATAAATGGCATTGTTAATCATTTTTTTTCAAGGAAAAAATCTTGTAAAATTGAGGGGGCATTTAAGTCTGAAGATCTAAAGGTATAACATGGTATCTATAGGGGATAAGGCTATAGTATATAACTGAAATTTGCTGAGAGAGTAGAACTCAAGTGTTTTCAATAAAGAGAAAGGTGTGAGATGTGCATGTGTTAACAATGGTGAGATGGTGCGAAGCCTTTCACAATATATACGGGTATTATATCATCAAGTTGTACTCCTCAAAGGTGACAATTTCATTTGTCAATTATACCTCAATAAAGCTGGAAAAAAATACTTTCAATCATTTTTTTTTTTATTTTTGAGGGAGCATTTATATAGTAGTTCATCTTAAACAGTTACAGCACAGATATCACGTTTGAGGCTTAGAAAACTAGACGCAGAGTGGAAGAGGTGTACTATCCCAGTCACAGGTAACTTACTAACCAGTCAAGACCCATAGTCAATCTTATATTACCAGAAATGCTGGGGTACTATTACTTGCTTCAACCTATGTTTAGAAGGTCCCTGACTGTGTAGCTTATGTCATTGGTATTAAAAGGTATAGGTATATGTGGATATAATACAATTTGCAAAAACTACTGCTTTTCACTTTTCTCAGTCTTCTTAGATGTTTTATTTACCAATCTAAATGGAGTGTAAGAAACAATTGTTGGTAAGAGAGATGCATATAATTCAAGTCCCCAAGTTCTGCTTTTCTAATTTATTAGGAAGTTTCTGATCAAAGTATCAAAGCTGATTCATAATATTCCCTCAGGAACCTCAGGATGATTTAGAAAGTAACTTCATTTAAAAGTTAATGGATGGGTTTAACTGTGTGAATTGGATGATATATCTCAATAAAGCATTTTTTTTTTAAGTTAAAGGCAATTCCATCTTACTGTCATATTGGTTTCATTAATTTAGTCAAATACACTGAGGGAGACACAAGTACCTCAGTGTTTATTACATTACTACTCAGAGCACTAAAATCTTGCTGAAATGAAAATACTAATCTAGTTCACATTTGCAGCAGCAATTCTGTGGACTAAATCATAAAACCTTGTGATTTTTTTTTTCCCTAAAAATCTTTTGCTAATCAAATGACAAGTAATAAAAGTAGTCTGAGTCACATTCAAGTTTTGCTTTCCAAGAGAACAAAAAGAAAGATTTCTACCTCCCCCAGTACAGAAAACTACAAAGGACAAAACAAAAGTTTTCCTGAACAAACACTGCTCAAAAAACTAAGAGACCAACCACAGCAGAAATTCCTACTAAAATAAACAACAGAGATAGCAGCAGAGAACAAACAGCTAAAAGCTATTGTGTGGCTTGACACACAACCAATAGCATTCAGTTTATATAAACTTGGGTTTTTAAATCTTGGATAGGGCTCAAACTACAATCTGCACGCAAAAGACTTTCTGTTTGACAAGGTAAGGTTACCTCTAAAATAACTTAAGGTAAATAGCTATATCTTATTAGTATGAATATGACACCGGGCTTTATTTTTCTAATTATTTTTGAAACAAAATTATTTTCCATTTAAATGCTACTCATCTTAACAAGGGGCTCCCCTGGTGGCTCAGATGGTAAAGCTTCTGCCTGCAATGCAGAAGACCCGGGTTTGATCCCTGGGTCGGGAAGATACCCCGGAGAAGGAAATGGCACCCCACTCCAGTACTCTTGCCTGGAAAATCCCATGAATGGAGGAGCCTGGTAGGCTACAGTCCATGGGTCGCAGAGTCAGACAGAACTCAGTGACTTCACTTTCACTTGAATCTGAACATATAAGATGTGTAACTATTGTCTTCAGGCTGAAATGCTTCCCATGGGAACAAATATGTTGATTTTTTTTTTTTGCCTAAAGTCAATGAAAAACTTTGGAGTGGCAGAAAAAAAATCACTTTATAACTAACTTTTCAATGAGTCACTTGGTGTTTAAACAAATCCACAGTGTTTTTCAAAATAGCACAGAGGGGTAAAAATGTTTTACAAAGCTTCTTTCTATGCCTTCTACTTAAATTTACTACAACTCACCTTTTAATTTATAATGCATTATTATAATGGTAATGCAAGCCAATTCTTAAGTAACTGTTTAGGAATCAGTAAAATTCCTTCCATTAAGGGTTAAAATATGTAATTTTAACACAAGATTAGATGTCTTCATCTAAGATAGAATGTGAAAAAGGCTCATCTGAAAATAAATATTAGAAAATAATTTTGAAAAAATTCTATTTCAATTTCAGGGGAAAATGTCATATGCTTAACTAACTTTAGTTAGTGATAATCAAAATTATCAAGAATACTATCCTGGAAGGAAAACACTCTAATAGTAGTTACTGGCTATTGACTTTGTAGTAATTGTTTATTATTTCATTTACAAACTAAAGTAGGAGTTAAAGAAAATGCCAAGTATGTACAAAACAATAATATACACAAACATACTATTCATTCAGTGTTTGAATATCATGTAAGATGCCGTTCACACATGATACCATTTGTAAGTATATGTGTGTGTGTTTAATTTAGTACATAGCACTAGCAGATTGGAGAAGGAAATGGCAAACCACGCCAGTATTCTTGCCTGGAGAATCACATGGACAGAAGAGCCTGGTGGGCTACAGTCCACGGGGTTGCAAAGACTCAGATACGACTGAGCAGCTGAGCACTCGGGCAAAAGCAGATAGGTGCTTAACACATGCATTTTACGGTAGCACTGTAGCTACAGATAATGTGGTTAACTTCAGCAGACATCTGTGTTACGCATATGGCCATCAAAATAACTGTGGCATGCTTTGTGACACTGAAAAAGGGCATGCCTGCTGCAAAATGACTACTTCCAACAAAAGCATGCCTAAATTATTGTTTAGTTAAATGGCATATATCCAAAATAACACCATTATAAAGTTGTGAATGCCTTTGAATCACTCACCAATTTTCCACCTATTTGTAAAACAAGATAAGCACCATCAGGTTATAAAAAGTAATTATGGATTAGGATTTTTGATTCATGTTTCTTTGACAATATTATTCTATTTGATCCCAAGTCTTGGCTGCTCTCTTGACAGAATAATGTACAAGCTCCACAGCTGACAGGAATAGGGCTTTCATGATAAAATAGGAAGCTCACATACCAGATGACTTTAGACTTCAGAAAGATTGCTTTGTTGTTTTAGTATCAGATCATTATCTTTCTTTAATTGTTTCAAAGCCAAAGAGAATCTATGTGTTATCAAAAATGTATGATGTTTTTGTGAGTGTTGCCTATTTTATTTGCACAGTACACCAAAAAATGTTACATCATCTTGTAAGTTCTTTCTCTGATTTCATGTTGGGGGGCGTGGGGAATGGGAGTTGCAACATAAAGAACTAAAAGTATACAATGAACATTCTTGCCCAAAGAGTATTCTATTGACAAAAAGGAAACACTGAGAATCTAATTGACTTTTGCTTATTACAATTACAGGGCAAACAATATTCAAAACAATTTCCTAAATGGTTAACTTTATCTTGTGGCTTTAACTGATCATTTTTACCTCCTTTCTCTGACAAAAAAAAAAAAAAAGCTGTAAAATCAGAATTCTGTATATGAAGAATGATACAAAGCTGAAACTTTTGACGGAGAACAGTTACTGTAGTGTGTATCAAACTATGTAAAAACTAATTCACACAAGGAAATGCCCAGAGTCTACGCCATTAGGATTAAATTCTGAGATGCCAAGACAAGGACAACACAATTGGCAGCCGTAAGTTTATTTTTCAGACGGTCTGCTGTATGAGAGAGAGGCGGGGGAAGGACGATTTCCCCTCATCAGACTCAGCAGCTAAGGTATCTAAAATGCCGAAGTGATTTTAAACTGAAGGAGAAAGAGAAAACAACAGAACACACGGGACTGCGATCATCTCTAGGTAGCTACCTTGTTGCGAGACAAAAAACGAGCGCGCAGGCGCGTCCTTTAGGTTGTCAACCGTAAACACGAGCCCATCGAAATTAAGGAAGTGGATGTCTGCAAGCTCCCATAGCCTTTTTGTTTGGGTTCTTAAGGTTAACAGAGGTAATTACATTTTAATGACCTACAAAGAGGCGCAAACTTATCACCTCGTTTGGAGAGATGCTTACTTAAACGCGGGGCTAAAACCAGGTTGCTTTTGGGAAAGGAAATTATTTTCCGGCCAAACGTAACATTACCCAACCACAAGCACAGGCGACACAATCACAACCACCTCATAAATGTGTTTCAACGAGTGAGCTGTTTTACTTTCCCAGTAATCCTATCAAGGAAAAAATAAGTCGTTCAACAAAGCCGAGGATCGCCTGTGTATTCAGTTCTGCGCCTCTTTAGGAGCTCTGGGGGCCTTAGCTGCTTTGGGAGGAGAACGAAGTAGGTAAGAGTTTGGGTCTCAGTTGCAGGACGGTGGATTGCAGCTGAGAGCTGGTGCATGGACGATCCCGCCAGACGTCAAACTTACTTTCCTTCATGAAGGACTCCAAGTTAACTCGGCCTGACACGTCCACCCCGCACCTGAGCGCGGGGATTAGCTGCCGCGCCTTCCCACCGCGCGGAGACGCCCCGCAGCCCGCCCCGCCCGGGTGACGGCGCTGGGACAAAGCGGCGGGCCCCCGCGCTCTCCCGGCTGCGCACCCCCTCCCGCGGCACACGCCCCCGACCCGCGCCTACCTTGATGCCCTGCTGCTGGGTGGTGAGAGTTAACTTGGATTCATTCAGAAGCAAAACTTCGCAATAGAATTCTTCCGGAACCGCGCAGAAACAGCCCATGTCGGCTGTGGCGGGCCTCGGCCAGCGGAGAAAGCTGCGACCCAGCCGCTGAGCGACCCCTGCCCTCAAACGCGAGGCATGAACGGACTGTCCGCGCCGCGGCGAGGCCGAGAGCACCCGTTACCGGCGGAGTCCGGAGCGGCGCGGACGGAAGGTAAGGAGGGCGGGGAAGCCCGGGAAAGCGTCAGCGCCCGGGAGCGGCCGGGGAAGCGCCGGCGGAACTGGGCGCGGAGGGCGGCGGCGAGTCCGCGCGCATCCTGCGGCTCTGGCTCCTCCGAAGGCGGGGGCGCCGCGGCCCCTCCCGCAGCCCTGGGGACGAGAAAAGCCGCCTGTCAAAGGGGTCAAGGGGCAAGAAAAGAAAGGGACGAGAGGTGCGGGCCCTGCTCGGACCGGGAAGCCCCTAGAAGCCCTGCGGCCCCCTCCACCTACGCCCGCCGCAGCGCAGAGGCAACGCACCGGCCTCGCCTCCGCCTCCGGGGTCCCCAGAGGGCGCGCGTTTCCAGCTCCGACCCCTCCCCGCAGCCCCCGGTTCGGCTCGCCGGCCGCGGAGCACTCCGCTGGTCCTTTGTGTCGGGGTGCCCCCACGACGCCCCGGCCCCGCCGCAGGGGCAGTGGCGAGGGTGGTCACTTATCCCCGCTACCGCCGCCTCCCCGGCCCACCGGCATCGAGAAGCCGGAAAAGGGTCCGAAAGGGTTTCGGGCTCCTTACCGCGACCGGCGAGTGGAGGTCAGCTCGTTGCGGGGCGCAGCTCCCGTCCGGGGATCCCAGAGTTCATCACGGGTCTATGCGTGGCCAACTTGAAGCTTTCCCTTCGAGAGCCCCCTGCCCGGGCGGCGGGGTGCTGCTTCTCCGGGAAATTCAGAGAAGCGGGCGGTCGGGAGACTGGTGGGCGGAGGAGCCGGCGCCCCGGCTGGGAACGCGGCCGGCGGGCGAGCGGGGTGTGCCCCGGGGCGCGCCAGGCCGCGGCGGCTCCCGGGAAAGTTCTCCCGGCTGTGCGACGGGTGGCGCCCCGGGCGGGAGCGTCCCAGGTGCAGCTGGGCCGGGCCTGGGTGTCTGCAAAAGGCCCGGGAGCCAAGCCGGGACCCAGTGGCCGGGAAGGGGGCGCCCCTTCTGGGGCGGGGTCTCGGCTGGGGATGGAGGGCGGAGCAGAGATGGTCAGATGGCGAGGTGCTGGAAGGTCCGCACGGGAACCGCGCGGCGCGTGAGCGCTCCGCCTCGCGGCCCCGGGCCCGGGCTCTCTTCGCTGTATCGGTTTCCCGGGGAGATCTGGAGGCGTGATCTAGGAAGGGGCAAGGCGCGGCTCCACGCGGACCCCGGCGCTCGACGCTCCCAGTCCCACGCCCTCCGCCCCACTGGCTCTGTCCAGGACGGGCGGGCACAGCAGCTCCGAGGCTGCAGCGCCCCCTGGTGGGCACTCCTGTCCGTGCACAAGCAACCAAGGCTGCGCTGCGGGTGAGACCGGGCTCCCGCGGGCCTTCTGAGCAGGTGCGATCTGGGAACCAGAAGTGAGTCAATGCAAGTGGAAGGTAGAGGAAGCACGAGGGGGAACTCGGGGCGTGGCTGACGGCGGGCCTGCCGAAAGCTTCTCTACTTTATCCTGAGTATTAGAAAGAGCAAGCGTTAGGGCGTCAGACCGTTTTGAGTTCTCTCCTCTACAACTTTTAAGGTACGTAGCACAAGTGTGAACAATTTCCTTAAAGCCTAGGACGCTACTAGTTGGAAGGAAAAAAACAACCACCTGGCCCCCGCAGCACAGTAAAATGGAAATACACAATGCAACTTTGGAAGGAATTTCCTCCCATAGTGATTGGCTACAAAGAACCTTCTGTAGAAAGCCTCTCTGTAAACACGAATTAGCACAACCCCCAAAGGGCAATAAATCCACTATATTTGGTGTGAACTTAACCTAAAGCTAAGAATCAAACCCTGTTTTTTCTTTCAAGCTCACTGTCAAATTGAAGCAGGTTTTAAGTTCTAACCAAATTGTGTGTCCAGCTTTGGATGCACTGACAAAGTTTTGCCTCCCATGAGCTGACATCTTATTATTCTAGATTTTAGTGTATTTTCTTGTGGAAGCTTTTATGTCGTATAATATTCCTCACCCAAATTACCAAATGTGATTGAAATATTGATTCTTTCCCACAATATCCAATAGAGCCACCTAAGCTTTAAAAAGCTGGCTTAAAACTCAACATTCAGACAACTAAGATCATGGCATCTGGTCCCACCACTTCATGGCAGATAGATGGGGAAACAATGACAGACTTTATTTTCTTGGGCTCCAAAGTCACTGCAGATGGTGACTGTAGCCATAAAATTAAAAGACACTTGCTCCTTGGAAGAAAAGCTATGACCAACCTAGACAGCATATTAAAAAGCAGAGGCATTACTCTCCCGACAAAGGCTCATCTATGGTTTTGACAAAGTCAAGGCTATGGTTTTTCCAGTACTCATGTATGGATGTGAAAGTTGGACTATAAAGAAAGCTGAGCGCTGAAGAATTGGTGCACCCTGCCCCTTCCTAGATAGAGCACGCCTCCAGAGCTCCCTGGGGAAACTGATACAACCAGCAGAGCCAGGGCCTGGAACCACGGGGCTGTCCACTCGCGTGCCCCGCAGTGCCTGTGGGCCTTCCCACACCTGGCCATTGGGCACTGTGGTGTTGGAGAAGACTCTTGAGAGCCCATCGGACTGCAAGGAGATCCTAAAGGAGATCAGTCCTGGGTGTTCATTGGAAGGACTGATGCTGAAGCTGAAACTCCAATATTTTGGCCACTGGATGCAAAGAACTGACTTATCAGAAAAGCCCCTGATGCTGGGAAAGATTGAAGGCAGGAGGAGAAGGGGAGGACAGAGGATGAGATGGTTGGACGGCATCATCGATGGACGTGAGTTTGAGCAAGCTCTGGGAGTTGGTGATGGTCAGGGAGGCCTGGTGTGCTGCAGTCCATGGGGTCGCAAAGAGTCAGACACGACTGAGCAACTGAACTGAACTGAAGCTTGAAAAAACAGAAGATAAGTCCCAAGTGTCCTGATCTGTTTGCCAGTTTTGAGTTTACTGCCATCAGTTTTATATTCTTTAGTATTGTGATTTTGTTTGCTTTGCCTCCAGTGGTAATGGAAAAGCTAGCTTTTTGGGGTGGGATGGAGTTCTGTTCTAGGCCCTCACAAGGGAGAGTTCAAAGCCGTGGGGTCCTGTATATATGACAGCCTTTTCTGGATGAGGTGTTTTCTCTTCCATTATTTATCAAAATGGAGAAAAGAAAATCCACTTAACACAGAGTTGCCCGGAGAAAATAGAAGTGTCACAGGTTTTCTTTGTTTAATAGCCTATTGAGCTACTGAAATGAAGTAGGATACTGGGGGGCCTTCCCAGGAACAGTCCCCACCCTCGTGTCTCCTGGCCTCTTGTTTATAGAAAGGCTTTAGCCTCCTAGGCCTTCCAAGTTCCAAAGGGAAAATTTAATCAGAGAAGTGAGAAAAGGCAGAAACACAGGAAAACAGTCCAGCGAGACAGAAGAATAATAGTTTAGCCTGGAGACCAAGTCAAGGACTCTTAGTCCCTCCTTGAGGGCCACAGACAATGTTCTGAGCCATGCCCTTGAGTTGGTTTGAAGATACTGAAACTCCTACAGGGTGGAAGAAGTTAACTGCTGCCCACTAGCATTTAGACTCCAGACCAGTTAGAACTAGAAGATTTATCATGTGAATTTTTGAAACGCCACCCTGTTACTTCACCACTAACTAATCAGTAGGAGGTCTGCCTTCTCCCTCACCTAATCTTTATCAAAATCCTTCCCTGAAAGCCACTGGGAGTGTGGGACTTTTGAGTTTGAGTCACTGGTTCTCCTAACCTTGGCCTTATGTTAGGTGCCTTGCAATAAAACATCAAACTTTCCTTCACTACAAACCAATCAGGAGATTGGTTTTACTTCGGCCAGGCTAGCAGACTCACGTTTGGTCCAGAAATACTATAACTGGCCCACAGTAAACGGTGTGTATTTGAAGTACACAGTTTGTAAGTTTTGACATAGGTATAAGTGAAACCATCATCAGGACCCATCTAGTAACCCTGTCTGTGACGCTCTAGAGTTGGCTTCTGTATCTTTGTAATCTCTCCCTCTCACTCCTCACCACGCCTCACCTCCCAGACAACCACGGATCTCTCTGTCACAATCAGCTCTCGACACTTTCTAGAGTTCTATATAAATGAAATAACAGTGCCAACTCTTTTCTTTCTGGTCTGCCTTAGTCCCCTTACCATAATTTTTGGATATTTATCCATGTTGTTGTGTATATCAATACTTTATTCATTTGTATTACTCAGTAGTATTGCTTTGAACATGTGTATACCACAATTTGCTTATCCATTCATGTGGTTTCTAGTTTTTTCCTATTACAAATAATAGAAATGCTACAAATCCTGCTGTGACTGATTTTCCAACAGTCAGCCCCAGCTGCCAAGACAAAAGGTTATAGACTGGATGGCTCAAACAACAGACGCTTATTTCCTCACAGTTGTGAATGATGGAAGAGTAAGATCGGGATGCCTGCATGATTCTTTCCTGGTGAAACCTCTTCCCCTGCCTTACAGGTGGCTGCCCTCCCACTGCATGCTCACCTGACCTCTTCTTTGTGAGGAGCTACTGGGGAGAGCGTCAGCTCTGTGTGTCTTCTCTCACAAAAACACTAAACTTGTTCTATCAGAGTCTCACCCATATGACCCTTTTAACCTTAATTACGTCCTTACAGGTTCTATCTCCACATACAGTTATCTTAGGGGTTAGCGCATCAGCATATACATTTGGGCTTCCCTTGTGGATCAGCTGGTAGAGAACCTTCCTGCAATGCAGGAGACCTGGGTTCAATCCCTGGATTGGGAAGACCCCAGGGAGAAGGGAAAGGCTACCCACTCCAGTATTCTGGCCTGGAGAATTCCGTGGACTGTATAGTCCATGGGGTCGCAAAGAGTTGGACACAACTTTCACTTTCATTTAAATTTGAAAGAGGCAGAATTCAGTCTATAGCAAGGATCCATGTTTTTGTGTGGACATGTGCTTTTATTTCTTTTGAAATAAGAAAGAGTGGAATCACTGGACCAGAAGATAGACAGATGGCAAATAAGCACATGAAAATATGCTCAGTGCTACTTGTCATTAGGAAAGTGAAATTCAGATCAGCATAAAATGCCATTAGAGTCCTAAGAGAATGGCCACTGCGCCAGCACAAGCATTGGCGAGGGCGGGGACAGTTTGTGTTTCCATACACTGCTGGTGTGCATGTAAGATGGCATCACCTTGGGTAACCCCCTGGTAATGTCTCAAAAATTTGAACATATACTATCTACAGGATTTGAGAGGAAAACTTGCACTGTCTATCCAGAGATACAAATTAACAAGACACTACTAAAACATATTTTTCTCCCCAGGAAAATCATATAGATTTTCAACATGTGCATAACATAATATACTCTATTTAAAGCCTCGTGTCAAAACCTTTGATCTCTCTTCAGAGATTTTTAGGAAAATATTTTCTTTGGTCAAGATGACTTTCTGTCATAATAAGCCCATGTAGATGAGTCAAATGACAAACAAATTCAGAGTAGATATAATTTTATAGAAATATGTAGACCATCTGTGATGGACTGCAGGAATCTCATCCTGGAAGAAGCAGTCTCACTATACATTAAACAGGCCCCCACCCTTTGCTGAAATGTGCACTCCAAAATGCCAGACACCACATTCTGTTTAAAGCTCCATATTCCCTTCAGGAAGATGTATTTAAACAATCTATGTCTTCTGTCATCTTTTTGTAATTTTACATTTTCCAAACTTCAGAGAGTTAACTAATTTGAAAAGAGAAAAAATACCTTTAAAACATTGACATACATAATTTAATTACTTAAACCCCTGAAGGCTATGCAGAAGAACCACCAGGAAAACTTGTTAAAATACAGATTCTGGCCCCACCCCTAGAGTTTTGAACTCAGTAGGTCTGAAATGGGACCTGAGGAATTGCATTTCCCACAGGTTCCCAGGTGATGCTGATGGTGCTGGGTGGGAAATACACTTTGAGAATCATTGCTTTAGAATCTACCTCTCAAAAAAATAAAGTTATTTCTAGTTACCTATGAATAATTTTTTAAAAGGAGACAGTTCATTCTTTACCAGCAGCCTCCCTCTTATTCTACCTCATACATCAAAAT